CTATCTGCCTATAGAGGGCCTCATCCACTGGATCTCCCTGGGATTATTCAAGTATGTCTGGAATTTCTCAGTCAGAGGCTAAAGGAATTTTAGACACTAGTTCTAACTCTGCTTAACAGATTGTAGGATCAGGCAGAAGGACTTGATTTTTTTCTTTATTTACCCAAGATGCAGTTTATCAGGTTAAGATAGTCATTTTAATTTGAAGAACAGCAGAACTCACTTTCATTATTTTCTTGGGATAATAAATCCCTCCAGAATAGAAAGCTGTTGTGTGTTTTGTTTTATTATGTCTTGTGCTTGTCTGTTTGTTTGCTTGGTTTTAGCCACCTGGATTTCAGTCTCGAGAAGACCTTATTTTTCTTCATTGCTGGGAGATACGAATTTTCCAACAAAGGAGCTGATATGTTCCTAGAAGCCTTATCAAGATTAAACTTTTTGCTGAGGGTAAGAAAGCTTCTGCAAATGCAGATAACGTAGAGCTAATGCTGAAATTTACCATGCTATGGAAGTCATCTGTAAGAATTTCCATATCATACTCCGGTTTATAGGAAAATAATTATGGGATATTCAGAATTTTCATAAAGCTCTCTCCCTGAATCATCAGAGTATGTAACCATCTCAAACTGCTTAAAATGATGGATTACATAGTTCAAGAAGCTAATACATGGTTACCTCCCTTGTTTTTAGAGAAAAATAATGAAAATATGATTCAAGAGGGTTTGAAAGTTTCTAATATGTAAATCCTGAAGGTTTGCATATTAGAAGGCAAATAAAAATAATCCTTTAATGTTTAAAAATATATTTTTAACCAAATTGCTTAATTCATTAGGACCTGACCATGATCTTTAAATCTCTTGAGTACAATTATCACATTGGAGGGGAATCTTGCGTTAAAATTTACAGTATGGCAGTGGCCTGATTAATAAGCATGGGCAAGCCACTCACTCCTCCATGCTTCTGTTTCCTCAGGTAACAAATGAGTGCAATGTTTCTGAATGCCTTTATGGCGTACTTTAGTGAAGATAAGACCTAAGCTTTGTCATGATCAAAGAGCAGAGCACTTACCACCTACAAATGAGGTCATTTAAAATATCTCCAGATGTGTCCGAAAGACTGATACATTTAAAATGAAAAATACAAAAAATAGTCATCTAGCAAGGATCAATTGGCTGTTGTCCCAGACTCTCTCTTTGGCACTCAATCATTTAAATTATATGGAAAATCTGGATAAAAATCTCGGTACTATATTGTCAGAAGGGCTGAAAAAATAGTAATTTTCAAAGCCCTAAGTACATTTGTTCTATGACCACCTTCTATTAATAAGGTATTAGAGCCTGTGGATTTTCTGGAGGTACTTAATCCTTTCACTCACACAACAGGTCACTTCATATAACTTAAGTATTTCTTCCACAACTGTCTTTTTTCCATAACTGACTTTCGTTTGACAATGCTTTGCAATATCAGATAGCTGTTAATGGCATTTACATGGCTATTAACTGTAAATGCTGATAATGTGGAAGGTCTTATGTGGTAAGAGGGAAGGAATTGCTTGAGCAATGGTTGCAGCAATCTCTTATTGTATCTCATGATTTATACGACATCAACGACAAGCTAGGTTGATGGAAAGTCAGAGGAAACTGAGGCTAGTTTTCCAAAGCTCTCTAGAACAGTGGGACTTGCTTCTCCCAGAAGCTGAGTCTGGCTTTACTGCATTACTGTTCCAACATGCATGCCAGCACCTGCTCTGTGGTTATTTCAAGCGGTGATTCCAATGGGAACAGCAGAGTACCTGTACTGTTTGTGCAGCTGGGACTGATGGTGCTTCTTAAACAAGTCCCAGTGACGTGCCTGAATCTAAAAAATACATAGCATTGGATGGAGTTATTTTACTTTATAGAGTCCTTTTCCTTTGCTACTTGAAAACTTTACTAACATTTTGGAAATAAAATATGAATGTTGGGACAGATTGTTAATACACGCTGGGATCATAGCATGGTGGACTTTGAACCTGCCTTGAAGAGAGGGAAGGGAAGACCCTTAAAATGGACAGATGACCCCAGTAGGTTGTTTTATACTATACATTTCCCTGTATGTCAGTCTGAGAGAAGGCATGCTCATAAAATGTTTGTGTGTCTAAAGTTTAGAATGGAGGCAATTAAAAATAATTTAATTTTTAGAGCTCTGACAGAGTTGACTCTTAGCTTTTCTTTGAATAGTTGCTGACAGGAGTACAACCTCGTTCTGCTCCGTATGAGGAATCCCTCAGGGACCTTGTATTCTGCATCTTGTTAGGGCACAGGAGAAACCAGCAAGTGAAACCATTTATAAGGGTCAGATTTTACAGGTTGTAGGTGGTTTTGGTTTTTGCTGTTTATGTTCACATCCTAAGCCGTGACCTCTAAACCATGAGAAGTCAGTAAGATCTCTGTTGCCCAAATTGGAATTGGGTGACATGTGTTTACCTATATTGATTCTCAGCTATATCGCTGACTTGACAAAAACTCTATAGCTAAAGGGAGAGGTATAAGACCAGAGCTTTCCTAGACAACCAAAGTGCATTGGCTTTTCCTGTGACTAATTCTTACTGTTAAAGTTGGCTGTGATACCTTGTAGTGAGATTTTTTTTTTTCTCTCCATCTTGTGTCCATGTAGGTTCATAAGACTGATGTTACAGTTGTTGTGTTCTTCATCATGCCAGCAAAGACAAACAATTTCAATGTAGAAAGCCTGAAGGGACAAGCAGTCCGGAAGCAGCTCTGGTAATTGCCTTTCTCACTGAGCGCCTTGCACAGTGAACTGAGGAGTCCTACAAAAGTTTCTGATGACAAATAATACTCTTTCTTTCTACTCTGCTAAAATCTGGGGTTGTGGGTAACTAGAATGTATTTGTGGGGATGAAAGATATGGGAATGGTAAATAAGGACAAATATTTATCTTTTTTTTGTCCTAGGTTATTTTTTGTAAACTTGCCATTCTTTGTAACAAGTTAGCAAATAGTACTTGTTTTGCAGTGACAAAGTCAAAGGTTGTAGAAAATCCAGTCTTCTGGATGTTTACTGACAGTTTCTAATACTCCTTTTGGACATGCTATTGAGCTCCCACAAAATAAGGACCACCTGCTAATTTGTCAGAGTGAGCTTCTCTGCCACCAGTGGGAAAAAGAAATCAAATACATGTCCTCTTTTCTTTAGAAATATGAAAATTGTACTGTCTAATTCAACAGAATAGCAGTTCATAACAATTGTGTGTAATATTCTGTATAGCTTCAATAAGCAATGGCCATACCCAAGGAGTGAATCTTACAGCTATAAAGGGAAAATTGCCACAGTGAGAACACTTTAACAGTTTTCATTTTACAACTCCCAGAACTAAAAAGCAAAGCAGGAGCAAACTTAACCTTCACCTCACTTTAGCTGCTATGTGATTCTACATAGGAAAAGACATATGTTGTGAGGTACTTCTAAACCAATAGGCAAGGCAAAACTGAAGGTTCAAACCATAAAGAATATCAGTGATAGGTTATCAAGGATGAATTTCATTTTAAAAAGTGAAAAATGCCATTTCACTCGATGTATTTACAGATTAGTTATCTAAGCAGTAAAATGGAAATGTGCATCTTATCAGGTGGCTAGAGCAGTTAAACTGCTGCTGAAATAATGAAGCTGATCTTAAAGCTAAGGGACTAAAACCCATAAGACCTAGCTTCTGCTTTTGTGTTTGTGTCTCACTGTGTTTAACCTCTTTCTGATGGCAGTTCTATATTTATACATTGATAGAAATCTAAACGACTTGGAGATCTGTAGATGAAAGGCACTATGCAACAGAAGGATACTATTTTTCTTGTTTTCTCATTAACTGCCTCCAGCAGATGATCTCTGGCTCAGTTTCTGGATATCAGTAATCAAGCTGAAGTCTTTGATTAATGGATACTAAACCTGCACAAAACCAGCGACAAAAATAGTTTAACAAGGATCACTGAAATAATTTAGCTTTTGCCATGTCTGGAAGAGAAGACAGATATGAGAAATCTGTCTACTCTAGATTATCTCTTGAGTCATCACACAGCAACATCTTAGGATTTAGAGGAACTTTGTACCTGGTTATCTATCACACTGGAAACAGGTACCAAAAATGTAGAGGTTGGAATTAATTGTCCAGCTCTGCCTTCCTCAAAGTGATGTGTCTGAGCTGTCTTCACTGAGAGTGGAGAGTGATGGTTCACTCCAAATGGTGTTTCATCCTGTACCATTTCAGGAAATGTCTTAAGATGAGTGAAGGGAATCATCAATGGATGAGTGAAATGGACTGTAATCCTCTGCAAATGTGTAGAGCATCTGCACAGCTCGCTTGAACTGTAGATGGCTAAAGCAGGGTGACATAGACAGAGTTTTTAATGAGAACTCTGTACACAAGAACTGTAGGACAGTAATGTGAGTGCAGTGAGAAACAGCCATGCTTGCAACAAGTGCTTTTGGTCTCTGCTTTGTCTTTGATATATAGTATGTAATGTTTGAATATAATACAACGGGTACATATTAAATAAATAATATATGGATATTAGGAAAGTTTAAATTAAATTAAATATGCAGAGATTTTTCCCTGTTGTATCTCTGCTGCTTGGTTATTTCTCTGACACTCAGTAATGCAGCCACAATAGTAATAGTAAACGTAAACCCAAAAATGTGAAATCATGCAACGAATGCTGTTTCACATTGTTCTTCCCACTGTGCTCTGTGAAAAGCAAAAGACCCTCTTCTTCATCATATGCGGCACTATCATGGTCATAACCTGGAGCTTCTGGATAAAACCACCTCATATCAGTATTACATAATAGCATAAGATGTTTTAAGGATGCCACAGATATTAAATACAAGAGGTTGACACTTACAAAGGAATAAGATGATGGCTGATCTGGATATAAAATCTCTTGTTTCCTCTGCTTCTGAAAAAGCAGCCTATCATGTCTGGGTTAAGTTTTGGATATTGTTCGTGGCATGAATCTATGAAAATATAGTTGTAAGGAGACTAGCTTGCTGGGATTTGGATCAGTTTGGTTTGACATTTAGCTGCTTTACAACTCATCCAAAATTAACTCATCCAGTGTTGTGTCTATGTGAGTTGAGAGAGAGTAACTAACAGGTATGTGGATTCTCAGCTTGGTAAAGTTCAGGATCTCACTTAACAAGTTTTGTCTTAGCCTGAAGTATAATTCTTAGAAAAGCAGGAAAGATTCCATGAAGTGGGTGTTTTACACAAATTGAGAGTGCATTTGCTATTTTGACAGCAGCACATTCAGCTGTATTTCCAAGTTATTTCAGCCAGGCGCAGGATAATTTAAATTACTCTTTGCATTTAGAAGAGTTGTTCACTGGACTTCTTTCTGAGCTAAAATATAACATTTGTCTGGCACGGGCTTTATTATTAGCCTGAGCTTTCCAGGAAGACTTTTGGTTTTCAAAAGTCTTTGAGTTAGGAAATAGGGCAAAAAGTGAGGGGAGAAGTTTGCTTTAAAAAAATCTCTGTTTAACTCTTCTATCTTACATCTTCCTACTAGGTCAAGTTCTATTGGACACCTCAGTCTTGATTAGTGCTCAATGTTAATGATCATGTTTCTCTACATAGTGTCATGTGTATGCTCTGTTTTTCATAGCTGACGTGAAAGTGTGGTCTACTGATCAGAGCATAATATTAGAAGTAATCACTAGTGAGGTCGACTCCTGGCTTTCACAGTGCATTCACCTTTGGGTGTAGGTGAAGTCCTCAGTTCTGTTGAAATCTGTCAGTATGGCTGCTGGCTGTATAAAAGAGCTTTAAGAACCAGACCTCTGTCTGCTGCTGCATTCTTGATTCCATCAATATACATGAAACCACAATTTCATTTCCAACAGAAGGAATCTCTTTTATTCTTTTTTTTTTCTTGCATTCTCCTGTTTTATACATATATTTATCTATTTTCCTAGGGACACTGCACAATCTGTGAAAGAAAAGTTTGGAAAGAAACTCTACAATGCCCTACTAAAGTGAGTGTATAGGTTACTTTGCCTTGCCTTGCAGAGCCGCCTATTCAGCTGGCTTACCTGTGGTGTTTCTGTGCTTCTACTCTTTGTGTAAGAATTTTTTACCTCCATAGGAAGGGCATAAAGAGAAGGATATGGGACCTTCTCCATACACGGGTTACTTGTTCATTAGACAAATCACAAAGAAAAAATTTAAAGGTACTAGCACCCCATTGTGGAAAGAGTCTTAAGAGACAGGGGATGTCTAAGTGACACAAAAGCTTACTCACTGTCAAAAATAAGCTATCTCAGCTTAAAAAAAGGACCAGAGACGAAGTAATATATATTAGTGGCTTAGTGGTATCCTTTCAAAAGACAGTTGAAAGTGAGTGACCCAAAGCACACGTGACTGGAACTTCAGCAAAAATGAAGTGTGTCTGAAAAACAGAGAAAAAGAATTCTCTACCTTTTTAGGAAGCTAATTGGAAGGTCAGCACATGTAGGGAGAACAAAACGTAGGGAATATAGAAGAGCCATGAAAACAAAGGAGAGATTCATGTTGACATCAACAGACTTCAGATCAGACCTTGTTTGCTGTTTCTTCGTTTCCTTTATACAACTGATAATAAGTCATTTGGTAAAATAGGCTCTTTGTTGCCTCTGCAGAGGAGAAATTCCAGACTTGAACAAGATTCTTGACCGGGATGATATAACCATTATGAAAAGAGCCATCTTTTCAACTCAGGTCAGAAAATGTATTATTTACACAAACATCCAGTATAAATGACAAACATGACTATGAACAAGGATTTTGTATGACATAAAGTGACATGCATGCATTGAAAAAGAAGTTTTCAGCGAATATACTTCTCATTGATAACATTTGAAGATCGTCTGTGATTGTTTTTAATGAGAGTATGACCCAAACTTATTATTTTAGGGAATCCATGGATATTCCCCCAGTCACATGCAGGACACCAAAATTCCTTATTCTTTTCTCTGCACTAAGTGTGAACTTTGCATTGTTCCTGAAACCTGGAGTCCTCGATTTTTATTAAATACATAAAATCAGTCTCTTAAGGAAACATAATGCATTGACTAAAAACCTTTCAAATTAAATGTTAGGCCTTTCTAAAAGTTGGTATAAATACATTTATTTTCAGGTAAATGAAACAAGTCCTGTGACAGATTTTATGGTCTTATTTGTGGCCTTAGTTATATAGAAGACAACATGATATGATCATAACTTTCCTTTCTTACCTTAAAATGAAAAGGTAAAAACCTCTCCACATTGATGACAAGATCTCCCACTATCTTCCACTAACCTTAGAAAATGGTAACAGGACTCTTTTGCCAACAGTTTTGTCTGGCTGATGGGTTGCCTTTTCTCACTCTAGCGACACTGTCTGCCTCCAGTGACCACCCACAACATGATTGATGATGGCAATGATCCCATCCTCAATACCATCCGACGCATTGGCCTGTTCAATAACCGGACAGACAGAGTAAAGGTACATTCTGTCATTTTAATTTTATCTATAAAATGGAATTTCTATAAATGGTCTCAGTCTGCATCATTAGCATGGGGAGCACAGTGAAATTCTTGATAGGCACTATTATACGAATGGACTACTTCTCCCCTTTTCCTCCCTTTCCAGGAATAACAACTAGTCACTTCACAGGTATCCTCAGTTACTGTTTAACCAAGTTAGTTTCAAGTTAGAAATCTGCTGTTAGGGAACTGTTTTTATTACTGCCTCCTGTACTGTGTAAAGAGCTACTGCTCCTGAGATCCAGAAAGTGCCACAGGTTGTTTGCACCCAGATGTAAAACTCTGTAATAGATTTATTTGCTTAAAACTGGTGGTCCAGAGTTTGAGCACAGACGTTTCTGGAGTATTGGTTCATCTCTTAAGCACAGCACCCTAATACTGATCATTTGCTGTGTAAGGTAACCAGGGCTTTGATCCTGAGCAGAAATGCTTCCTATTCATGCTCATGTTTACATCAACTGTTCAAGCTAAATGCATGGAAACAAATCCTTTCCTTACTTCCATGTCTGGCTTGCAAGACTACAGAAATTATCAGCTTCCCTTTCACAATTCTGCCAAAGCTTTTTATGGTCTGGCAATATCTGGCATTCTCTGTGTTAACTATGACCATCTTATCATCTATCTATTCAAAGCAGAATCTAAAATTTCAAATTCTTTCTCTTCCAAACCTTCTTTTTAAAGCCAGATCCATAGTATCTCTGACAATGTCATATCACTTGTTCTCAGTGTTTTGGCTTTTAAACCCATGGCTGCCTGGCTTAACGTATTCTCTGCTAAGCATGTGTCTCCAATGAGCTCCGAGAGCATAATATGGTGATAATATACTAGTTGTAACAAAAGTAGGGTGGAAGGATGCACTGTATATAAAAGTAGTTGAAAATCCCTCAGAACTAACTGCTTGAAGTAGTTAGAAATAGGTGGCATATAACACTGCAGACACGTCTTCCTGCTTCTCAGCAGACTTGAGTGGCTAAGTACACATCAAGTTTGTACAAAACTGTCATTACCACTGGAAAATTACCTGCTGCATGAACAGTCTTAATACTTAATGAGCTGGATGTCATGGACAAAAATTCTGTAAACTTCAAATGGGAAGTCATTTTGAGAGATGTATGATATATCCATGCAGACACAGTTGGCATGTGAAAAATTGCCTCAGCAATGCCAATGGAAAATCTTATTTGATTCACTGGGGTCAAATAAGCTTGCATGATGAGTTTACAGCCCATTTACTGGTTGAATACATTCATGTCTTTATTTACTCAAATGAGTAGCATGACTGTATTATTAAGAATGGATAAAAGCATATCCTTGACATGGAATAATGGCTGCAGTATGTTTATATGGGGGAAAAAAAGCCCAGAGAAAGTTAAACCCTTCCCTCATACTTCTTCCTCCCAAAGCTGACTGGACAGCATACACAAGGCACTTCTCTACTTAGCAGTGGAATATGGGACAGTGATCCCAAGTCCTGCTGAGTCATGCAGATAAATTAGCTTGGGTCCTGAAAGCAGGACATTAACCTAAGTTAATAAGCTTTGTTTTTCAGCAAGATTAGTTAGCTGAGGCACAGGGTTCTGATGATGGGGCTATAATATGTCTGGTTTCAAAATTCTCTCAGTTCTTGAGAGATCTGTTGAGTACCATAAGCATTGCTACATTTCAGTTGGATGGTGTGAAGCTCAGAAGTGCTGTGTTCTCCTGAGGTCTTCTCTGGAACAAGATATCCCAATACTCTGTACTTTGGTACAACAAACCAAGAGAACCAGTTTAGTATTGCTAAATGCCGTGGCCTTAGGCATAATTCTCAATGCACGGGGTCTTCCTTGGGCAACAAGGATAAAGCTGAAGACCTGTCTAGGTAAAGGGTTCATTATCAGTACTATTTCCAGGTCAGGACTGCACACAGGCAGGATACATTTTGGTGTGGGAAGTGAAATAGATAATAGATGGGCAAAGGAGGTGGTGTTTAGCCATTTGGGAAAAGACCAGAGAGAAGAAATTGCTTAAGCTTATTGATAATTAAATTGTATTGATGATGATTTTCTTTCACCTCTAATGTAAGTTTTGAATATCCAGGTGATCCTACATCCAGAGTTTCTTTCTTCAACAAGCCCATTGCTGCCTTTGGACTATGAGGAGTTTGTTAGAGGCTGCCACCTTGGTGTGTTTCCATCATACTATGAACCCTGGGGTTACACTCCAGGTAGGCAATCTGTACACTTGACTCGTACCAAAATACAAATACTCATTCTGATGATGCAGAATAGTTTTGCAACCAGTTTCTTCTGGAGTGCTGGAAAAAGCTCTTTTGGCTCTGTTTCCTCTGCAGTCCAAAGGTCTTACTGCTGGCAAAATTTGGGGGCCAAGTAGTATAAAATGGCATCTGCTGACTGTCAGCTATTCACATTTGTCCCTGTGCTGGACCCTTTCCCATACTAACATGTAATATTTTGATTTTCTGTGGCTTTAGAACAAAAAAATAATTTTTTAAACTTGATTCTTAACTTGATTCAAGGATTTAAAAATAAGATTTAGAGGAATGTACATATTGAAAAAAGTAGGGCAAAAAATCTGATGCTACCAGCTGACATACTTCAGTGGATTTAATTCAAGATAACAATTAAATTTTATAGAATTATATTACACCATATCTAAGATGTCTACCACAAGTACATGGAGTGGTAGATAATCTCACAGAATTAAATAGAAATTTCTGAAGATACAGAGAGCATGTTGTTTCTGACTTTAATTGCGCAGATTTACGAAAGGTACTTAACACCTGATGAAATCAGTGCAAACTATGATCTTGGATACCTATGAAGATCCAAACCTAGGTGCCTGGGTTTTTAATGTTCTCCAAAACACCTTCTGTTGTCTTGATACACATCTGAAAGTTGGAATGCCCCTCTGAAGAACAGTCAGAATAGAAATTTTGCAAATTTAGTCATTGTCCAGAGCTATTTCTCTCCAAGGAAGAGAGCTTTTCAGTTCCAAGTAAGACAACTGTCTTGCATTCCAGCAATTTCTCTGTTCTAATCTCAGCTAAGTTATAAAGAAAGTTGGACAGCCAGGGGTGGTTTTGAAGTGAATATTAAAGTAAACTTGGAAAGAAAACTTAGATTATGTCTTAGCAGTTTTGAGAGAGGCTGTGATTTACACCAGTTAAAAGGGTAGTTTCTCTTTCCATTACTAATAGAAAAGTGATTCTCTTTGTTGATACCCATTTGCTTCTCCAGAAACAATAAGTGATTTTTTTTTAAGGTAGATTTATAGCTCTGTTTTATAGACACCAGTTTTATTGTCATATTAATGAAGATGTAGATGGCTTTCAGCATTTCAAAGACTATTTACTTTATCTGTGTGCTATCTTAAGTCGGCTTAAGTTCATGGGCAAAAACTCTTTAAGCTTGAACAAACAGTTTTCCTTACTCACACTGGTGATAGAAATAACTACAAAAGATGCATGCATCTAATTTTATAAAACAAGCTCCCCATCTAGTTTGAATACTGTCCTGAGTTAATGATGGGGTTTGTTGGGAGTGGGGTTTTCTTGCTATCAGAACCAATTTACAAATGATGAATATCAGAATACAATGTTTAACGTGCTCCTGCACTTAAGAGATTCAGTTTTGTAAATAGCTGTGAACAACTAATGAACAAATGTGTTCATCAGGCTTCAATTTAAAATCCAAACAAACAGTCCAGACCATGTATTGGAGTTCTCTGTTTCAACACTGGACTCCCAGAAAGTTTTAGGTGCTGGGAAACGCAGATATGTTCTCAAAAACAGTGTGAAATTTTATCTTTAAAATTTATTTTGACATTTTCAGAGCAGCTCCTGTGTTACGGGGCCTTCTGTCTGCCTGTTTCTTTCCCTTTTTTCTCTCAAGGTGAAACCATTCAGAGCATATTGCCCTGATACACTTTTTGTCTGTTTCTTTTGGCAGCTGAATGTACTGTGATGGGCATTCCCAGTGTCACCACAAACCTTTCTGGATTTGGCTGTTTTATGCAGGAACATGTTGCTGACCCAGCAGCTTATGGTAACATTTTTAACACCATGTCAAAACACTGCCTCTGAGTTAGGAAAGCAAAAAGCACAGCAACATTAACAACAGTTAATCCTCAATTTTGTGCCATGGATTTCATATATTTCATATATTTCATGGGGGAATATATTCAGAGCTCTGAATATCTCGTTATGTTGAACAAGCCATTCAAGCTTTCATATTTGTCCAAACCCTTTCCAGTCTCTCTCTCTCTTATATCTCCCTTTAACCTTTTGTCTGCTTTATCCTTCCAGACTCAGCAGTCCTTGTACCTACTCTGGAGTCTCCCAGCACTTCCCTTTAATGCCTCTGCTTACAGTGTAACTCTTTGAGCCCTTAAAAAAAAGCAGTGAAAATCTGCTTCTCTTTGAGTAGTCTGCAAGGGGTGTACTGGGACCTCGAGGCCAGAGACACTTGCCCCCACCAAACAAAGAGTAAATTATCATGTACACTAAAAAATAAACTTGTGAAAATAAAAGGAACCTACTTACAAATAAGAGTCTACTCATAAAGATTTAGAAGTGGTTCATGATTGGAGTGTCATAAGGAGGAGGGTAGACAACTCCTGGTGTATCAAGACAATATTGAAAATGTGCCCAAATTAGGGCCTCTTTCTAAGTATCTTCACTTGTCTGCATGATCAGGTAATGACAGCTCCATGCTTGTACCAACTATGCCCTGACCTAGGGCCAAGGGTAGAGCTGGTTGAAAAAGCCTGCCTGGGTAGACGTGTCTTTGAAAGCTTTCAGAAAGGTCACAGACTGAGAGCACAGGTCACTTGCTCTTCTCTGGCAAAACAGATAGATGTGAGCATTGACATAACTTACTGTACATTCACGGGGGACAATTAAGGTAGCTGTGCATCTGTCTCGTCCTTTAAGATAGCTGAGATCTAGTACCCTTTTCTTCCCAATACCCTGGTGTGAGGAAAGTGACAAGGATAGAGTACTGATCTTGTCAAACTACACAGAGGCAGTTTACCTTGGCCCTCTCTCTGCCAGAACTGTGTATTGACTAATGTGAGTTAGCTATCTCTATGGAAACACTTGTGTTTCTACAGAAAACACAGCCTCTCTCCTACAGGCTGATTCTGACCATCCATACTTCTAAATTCTACTGCAAACTAGGAAAGCACTAGATTTTTTTTTTTTAAGCAGTCAGTATTTTTAAAATTATGCGAGATAATAATTATATGTCTTTATCCAGGAAATCTTGAATCCTTTTTGACATACTTACACAACAACAGAGCTGCTGAGTTCTGAAAATTTTGCTGAATATCAGCCTGAAAGGTTAAGAAAATTGAAATTAAAAAACATCTTTCTCTGCAGTTTTCCATTCCATCAGAATAGTAACAAATGTTCCAGTTACAGCTGCCTTCTAACATTACAAAGAACATCTAATACATGTAATGGTTGTAAGACTATGTGACAGAAGGTAGAATGGAAATGTAAGAGGTCAGATCCCATTTTCAGTTCCACTTATCTTTACCTTTTTTGTGTCCTTCAGGTATCTACATAGTTGACAGGAGGTTCCGTTCACCTGATGAATCGTGCAACCAGTTGACTCAGTTCCTGTACGGATTTTGTCAGCAGTCCCGTCGCCAGAGGATCATCCAAAGAAACCGAACTGAGAGGCTCTCGGATCTGTTGGACTGGAGATACCTAGGCAGGGTGTGTGAAACTATGTAATAGAGATATTGAAAATTCCAGACATGTAGGTGTAACCAGCAGTCTTCAGCATCAAGCTACAGTGCAAAGAGACATCTCTGTTCTGAAAAGCACCTCTTAAAGGTGCTAAAGGCAAACCCTGCCTTTACACTTCAGTGTAATGCCTCCATTCTCCAGTGCTAAGGAGAGATGTGACTTAACTGAGTAGGTTAGAGAAGAAGCCAGTCACACTGAGGTCTTTGTATTCCTCATGCTAAAGACAATGTAAAAAGCTTGTGTCTCTGACAACACTGGCAGTCCTGTCCTAGGTACGATTTGTGCTCCAGAGTCATCTGGACTCTCTCAAAAATCCTGTTTATTCTTCCAAAAATGCTACTGGGTCCTGTGGCTCCTCAACACTCCTAAACTACCTCTGTGCCTTAGAAATATTGTATTTAATTTGACGTATTAAAAACTGCAGTACCACCTATTAAGAAGGCAGCAGCAAAGCAGTATTCTCAAGTCCACAGGAGCAAAGAAGTGGATGAACGTATATCAGTTTTGTAACTATTGTCCTGCACTAATATCTGTGTGAGAACCTTTCTGTTTATATGGTTCCCAGCACAGCATAAGACCCTGACAAAACAAGCTATTTTTTCTGTGCATGGGATGGAGACTCGTGAATATAATAGATCCATAAATATTTTTGCCAAATTCATAAATGCCAGGCCTAAGTAAACTCATAAATGTTACTTCTCTGTAAGTGTTACACATGCTTCCTGTGCAAGGATGAGTCCAAAGTTTGTGTGTATACACATGCACACTTAAAGGTGTAAGTTTTCCTGGTTAAAAAATATCCAGTTCTATCCTGAGGGATAAAGAATACCTGTCTCTCTCTACACTAATTAAGATAAGTGCTGGTTTTCATCTTGATGCATCTTATTCAGCTTCTGTTCCAGACTCTACTCCAGCATGAATCTAACATGAATGGCTCACTACTTCACAGCACAGTGTTCATTACAAGCAGAAATAACAGATGGATTCTCCTTAGCTGAAAACATGCTTAGCCTTTGATCAGCATAATCTTTTAGAAGATACTAATTTTATTTTCCCTTTTTCCCCTGCTTAAATCTGCCCAAGACTTCTGTGACTTGTAAAGGCTTCTCTTTTATGTTGCAGTATTACGTGCATGCCAGACAGTTGGCGCTTAGTAGAACATTCCCAGATAAATTTGAGATGGAACCAAGTGCTCCACCAAAGGTAAAGTCTGCTTTTGGGGATGAGTTCATCTGCATTTTAGCTACATTACAAAGAGAGAAAGAAAGAGAGTGTGTGTGTGTGTGTGTGTGAGACAGAAAGAGAAATAAGAGAGTTAAGCAAGTTTTGTTTTAACTGAAGGGAAGTAGGAACTCATAGTTAAAAGCTCAACAAGTCATAGACCCAAGCTTCAGTCAGGAGTTTTAATGGTATCAAGATGCAAACACTGGGGTACTAGGTGAAATACAGAAAGAGTTCTTCAGGTGATTTAGAGTGACCTGGATGGGACTATGCCACTTTAGACAAGCTGAGGAACTGGCACTTGGAATTCCTATTAGAAGAGTGGCAGCTTCTAATTTTGCTTCTGATAAATGTCATGGAGATGTTCTGCACAAACCAAATAGAAGGGGAGCAGGGAAAGGATGTTCTAGGGAAGGAGAGGCAAAGTGTTGCCTTCATCTAAACGTGGTGTGTGAGGAGAAGGCTGTGGCTGGAACTGCAAGAGGTCAGTTTAAAGGCACACCTTCAAACAGTTCTTGCATAGTGCATATTAGCACTAATTTGAGAAGGGAGGCTGCTCAGATCCAATGTAAGAACCATGTTATTTAAAACCAAACCTCCAGACACCTGCAGAGAGCAGCTCTTTTAATTTAAATAAGAAGGAGAAAGGAGGCTCAGGCTAAAACCTCTTGCCTTGGTTCTGGTTTTACAGATATTGACATTATAATGAGAAAACTGTTCTAAAATTTCAGACTGAATTCTGTGTTTCAATCAGCATATTCTGACTACAGAGTACAGGTGGATTTTGTGTTTTGTTGGTGGTTTTAAGGCTCAATAAGGGTAGTCATATTTTGCAAAAAGCAGTGCTGGAAGGGCAGCGTATTGTTTATGGCACAGGCTAAAGATCACTGCCATACGAGTGTGTACATAGTAGTGGAGAATGATTGAGGGGATCTGGGTTCAAGAGAGTTTAATTTTCGAGTGCAGAGCAAGTCTGGCTTACACCCCACCATTGATTTCCTTTGAAGTGTTGGTAGCCTTAGATGGCTGTATACAACCAATTGAGGAACACTGTGATAATATATACAACTTGCTTCTCTCTCTGCCAGACGGAAGGTTTCAGGTACCCCAGACCTTCGTCAGTGCCACCATCACCTTCTGTCTCTCAGCCTTCCAGCCCTCACCATAGTGAAGATGAAGATGAGGATGAAAGATATGATGAAGAAGAGGAAGCTGAAAAGGATAGGCAAAACATCAAGTCTCCCTTTTCCTTTGGAGTATTGCCGCAAGGAAAAAAGAAGCAGCATGGAGAATACAGGAACTGAATTTGTTGCTCTCACCCTGACAGGGTCTCTCCATCCATTCAACAGTTTCTCCTGTAGGCTTGGCAAACTTTGTGTTAAGTACAGTGTGATATAATTAGAGAAATCTTAAATGTTACTTGAACTATACTGTTGGAAAGCCTAATATTATTTCACCTTGAAAGTAGTTTAAATGAGAATTTTTGTGTGCCCCTGTGAGGTAGAAGAGATTTCTCAAGCTTAATAAACCTAGAGAAAGTGACAATCCCCTCAGGAGCCTATACAAACTGCAGATCATACCTTTGTCTACATAATCATCTATATTAATCATAGTCTATGCTGATAGCTCCATTATGGGTGGCCCAAGTGTATTTCTGCTTCATTTATGTTCCCACTTTTCCCCTCCTAAACTAAGATGAACTTTAAGACAGAGCTCCAAAAATTTAGAGAAAAAAATTATACACTTGGGAAACCTTGGCAGGGTTAAAAAAGATACAATGAAAACAAAATGGTCTTTCTTTTTCCTTATGCTGTTTATTGTAAGCTTACATCACTTAAAACATTTTTTTACAGCACACAGAAGTGTCTTGATCCAGTGGTAAAACATACTTCCTGTGGAACAATATAAAGTCTTATGCAGTGGACATTTGAATTTTAGAGACAAATGAAGTCATCTTTCTGAAGTCATTTAGACCCACAATAAACAGCAGACCATTTCTTTTCAGATTCCTCTGGTATGTCTCTCTTACTGTTTTCATCTTGTTTTAGATTCTAAGTTTGTTAACAAACTAGTTTGTGAGGAAATTAATGTGACTTGACTACAGAGGATGACAAAATTTCCTTAAGCAACCCCTTCCCCTGCACAGAAACCTACATGCCATAGAGCAATGTGACAACAAAGATGAGTAACTCTAGTTCTTCCAATTGCCACATTAGTCCACGGTCTGTTTCACTTCTATAAGAGACCTAACCCTAACAAATAACTCTAAAAGAATTCCAAGAACACGTCTGCCCCACAAACAAACCATAATTTAGGAAAGCACTTGAAACATCAGAGTGCGTGGGGAATAATTGAACCTCACAACAAGGACTAACATTTAATTTGCCTTACAGAAAGCTTTCAAAAGTATTTCAATTCCTAGAGATGCAGAGAGGGCCAGAACATGCTCTTCAGAAGTAGATCTTGACAGGAAGACATTAGAAAGGAGAGTCATCTTTTATTTTAGAAGTTTGTGCATGAAGAATTTCTCATGCTGTTCAAGACAAGAAATTTCCAAGGAATTGATTCAGCTTATTCTTCAGCAGGTAGGATGATTTAACTTTTGGACTTTTTTACCTTCACTGTCAATCCCAGGGGAAGCCTCAATGTCCAACTTATATTACACACCTACCTTTGAAACACTTAACCATCATTTGATGGCATGTTTTTTACTGTAGGCCATGTAGAACAAAAGTGATTAGGTGTCTATTTGTATTTTTGGCCACCACCTAAAATCAGTTTTAAAATTGGACTTTCATTGTTAAACTGATTTGGGTGCCTGAAAGAATAACTATTCTCAGAATTCTCAGGTTCATGCTTTTATGGCAAAAACTTAATTAGATTTAAAAGGAGTCACTATTTTTTAGCTATTTTAAAAGTAATTAAAACAATGAATAGTTATTTTTTATATGAAAGTGGTGAAAGCAAAGACACTGCAAATACTTTCCTTCATACAGTTTACTAAGTGGAGAACAACTGCATTTTGTGAGTTCAGAAATCTATATACTTCCCCAAAGTGCTTTTAATCAAAGTTTCCTTGCAAAGTCAAAGAACGTAATGGCTGAGATTCCTAAAAAAAAAACAAAAAAAACCCAAACATTTAAAAGGTATATTGATTGAAAGTTAATGTTCTCTTAAATTTTTTTTTTATTAAGAAATCTGACATTATTGCTTGTATTTTTCTTGTATTTCAATGCGCTGGTGTACTGAAGAAAAGAATTTATTCACCCCAAACTCCCTGACATCAAAATTGCATTAACAACATCTGTGAGTGATCCAGCACTTCCTTTGTTGCCTAAAAATGTTCTAGTAGCCACAGGCTGGTGAACATCTGCTTGTCACCGTTCCAGACCCACCTTCATTGTAGTGCTAAAGGATGTGATCACTACACACATATTGTAAATATTGCTAAATGATGGAGGCACAGCACAGATGATACGGAAAGCGGAAAGATTTTGCTAGGGTTGCAGTAAGACAGCTACACTTGTTCTTTCTGGATGAGTTCCAGAGGAGAAAAATAAGCAACATATGTGATCCAGGTTGCAGGTTCTCTTAGATGTGCTTATGGTGTTTGAGTTCCCTGGGAAGAGCAGGGAGCTGGCAAGACATCTTGCACAAATCCAGCTGTGTTTGTTTCAGCACGCTGACATGCTTTGAGCACCTACCCGGTGCTCAGACAGAAAGTGCACAGCTTTTGAGATACAACTATTATGAATATTATGCCCATTCTTCTCAGAAATGTTCCCACAGTGGCCAAAGTGACCTCTGCCTCATGCCTCTAGGCTTGTTCTGGATCTGCCTTGAATGCTAGGACTAGCCATAAGTAGTAAGGCAATTTAACTACTGCAAAACATTCCTGCCTTTTGAATTTGCAGTGTTACAGGGAATGGCTTTTCATTCAGTCAAGGCAACAGATTGCCTAACTTAAATGCCACACATTTCTAACATTTACTGACATCTGACAAGTTTGGTAGCAGCCATCTGTTACATAAACGATAATCTGCCAAACTGCAAATACTAGGGTTTCACAAACAGCTCATCTAAAGGCAGAATGTTTATTCTATTTCATGGTATTTCTAAAGAATTGTTTAAGCTAGTGAACTTAGATCAGGAATACATACAAAAATGAGTCACCTGGGAATGTGATTAGTACAGTTTTTATATCTCTGGGACATTTAGAGGCTTATGAATTTCAAGATGCTAATAAACCTAAGTATGTATATGCCTTCTACTTTTTGTTTGAGCACTGACTGATCATGCTGTAAAATATGATGAAAAATAACTTAGATGCACCTGAAATAGAGTATGCTTGAAACAAGGAGCAATTAAATTACTAAGAAGATTCTGGTGGATACTACTGGTCTTTAGATGAAGTTCATCGTGAATGCATTTTGTCATACAACATATACTGCTATTGAAAGATATACTAGTCCTTAAAAACGAACAAACAAGGACATTTTGATTTCTCCAGTTATGTTCCTCCATGAAATTATATAGATTAAAAACAATTACTGAAAGTGCCTGTAGCGCCATGATAGGAATTAATTCCTCTGTTCCTTCAGATGTGTTTCTTTGTGTTGAGGAGAAGCAACATGATAGTTAATGTGAGCTGACAAAATTAATTAGCAGTGTCATGAGAAAGATCAGAAGAAAGTAGCACTAAAAGATGAAAAGCACAACTAGGGTTAAAGGTTAAAAAAATAAAACATAGTTGCTTGGACACAAAAATCATGTGGCTACTTTTTAATTACATGAGAACTACAGAGGGCTTTCCAGTAAGACCACAAAACTACATAAATAATGTTAAATATATCCTTATCATCATGGAATGATAATTAACCAATTTATGTATAATCCCAGTTTTGCAACTCAAAAACCAGGCCAACAAAAAAGTACAATAACAAAGCAATTAATATTCTATGTGCCTGTTGTCATGCGTGATACTAGATTTGTACCTAGTACACCACCACTAACTCCAGCAGCCCTGCACCTCCTGGCCTCATTAATGACTATGTGTGAGACAGTCATTAACGAGGCCCCCATCCTGTAAAACCTGTCCCACAGCTCACTTCATGTAGCGGGACTCACTCAGGAAGTTTATTCAGGGTACACACTTCTGCATGCATGCAGCTGGGGCAGCACTGAGGTCTGAGTGTGTGCTGTTGCCTGTTCTCTGTGGTGACAGATATCTGCAAAAAAAATCACCTGCTTCGCAGTCAAAGATAGCTGGACTGTTTTAATACCTCGCTGACTTCATTGACCATCAGCAACTCAAAGGGCCAGCAGTGAAGTGGTGAAAGAATCTACCTTTATCAGAAATCAAAAGGTTTCAATATCCAGCTGGGTGGAAGATGGTAAAAGGTTTTCCAAAAACTATTGAAAAATTATTTTTAATGAAGTAGTTGTCCAAAAAGACAGTTTTAATCATCTTTTCAGGTAAGATGGTACAGTGTATTTTAAATTTTGGGTGGGACATACAAAATGGTCTAAACAAGGCAGGAACTTTGCAAATAATTTCCTTATCCAAACCAGTAACTTTTAATCAGTTGGCATTCAAAATGTTGCTATGAGTATGTACGTCACCCTTTGGGAACTTAAGTGAAGATGGATGAAATACTCTGTTTCCACAAATCCTGATTTCAGGGTATATGCAATACAAAGGTTAAAGAAATTTGAAATATTTCACCAGTTTGATAGACTGTCTGTCAAGTAGCCGGGGCGATCATTGTTTTCTTCTTCAACTGTAAGACAAGACACAATGGGGAAAAACAAGCTGTAGGTAAAGGAAAGTTCAATCAGCCAAAGTTTTCACCAGATAAGATGTGCCTCAGGCGCAGGCCTGGTGTAACGTGACTGCTTAGCTAAGAGATGCAGGCATTGATAGAAATAATCATAACTTCTCTCATTTTAAATGTAGGATTTTTTCTGTTTGCTGAAGAGCAAAGATACAAACCATGTGCAGAGAGATACCTTAGTACAAGGCACAAATTTTTCATGCAGAAGGAAATAATGTATTTGTTCTTTATTTGCATGTTTCTTTCAGTCAAGAGGATTCTAAAATCACCTGACAGTGATTTTCTGAGAGTGCAGCGCTTGCCTCGGTTTGACTGTGTTATTATTCCTGAACACAATGACGGCAGTGTTATTCCATGTAGTATTTTTCAAACAAGGTGTCAGTTCTGCTTAGCTCTCTCAAACACATCACCTTTTTTCTCAGAGGGCTGTTGCTGTCCAGTGTCTCCTCTGGAGTAGCAACGGCAGGCAGGAAAATAGGAATTTATGAATTTAATTTATAAATCAAGAACTTCAGATTATTTTCTCTTTTAGTTAGCACACAAATGACACTTGCACTGATTTGTCTTTTGAACTTCTCATATATTTTGTCCTAAAGCACTATGCTCATTTTTAATTCTGCTTTTCTCTCAATCAAAATGCCACTGAATTTTTTTGGTTAGCAAA